CTCCCACCCCGTCCGGGCTGGGGCGGGCGGCCCGGGCGGAGGAGGAGCGGGGAGCAAAGGTTGGCGTGTTGGCGTCTTCGCGCTGGGACCTTCGCCGGAGGGACCGCGGCAGCATGACGATGGGAGCCAGGCTCCGAAGCAAGGCGGCGAGCAGCCTCCCGCGCCGCGGGCTCCGAGGGCGGACAGAGGGGGACGAGGAGGCGGCCGCCATCCTGGAGCACCTGGAGTGCGGGGACGAGGCGGCGGAGAGCGGGGGGGCCCCGGGGGCCCGGGGCGCCAGGAGGGTGCACCTCGCCATCCTGCCCGAGCGCTACGAACCGCTGGAGGAGCCCGCGCCGGACGAGAAGCCCAAGCGGAGGTACCGGCGGAAGCTGAAGAAGTATGGCAAGGTGGGTGCCCGTGGGTCGGGGGCGCGGTGCCCTGGCCAGGGGTTGGGGGGAGGGGGTGGCGCTTCTCCGGCCCCAGGGCCTCCGGGTGAACCGGCTGGAGAGCGAGAGTAGGTCCTGATCGTCGACTCTGCTCTGCTTCCCTGGGCTGCTCCTGGGACCCCCTGAGCCCCCACTCCCACTCCCTCCCCAGGGGGCAGCTGTAGTTGCAAGAAGGGATGTAAACGCAGTCGGGGTTGCTCTGGGCTCCGCCGGGACCTCTGCGCAGCTGCCCAGCTGCCAAAGGGTTAGTAACATTCTCAAGGGGCGCCTGCGAAGGTGGTTCTTACATAAGATCAGGAGTCGGTGTCCCTGGGATACAGATGGGAATGCTGACGCTTTAGCGCGAGCAGGTGACTCCTAAAAGTGACCTAGTTGGAAAGAAAGGAGTTGCACCCCAGGTTATCTGTTTTGCAGTAACACCCTCGCCAGGATATCCCACTAACTGAGAAATGTTTGGTTCCCACCCCCCCCGAATATTCCCAGGCTATTTCCAGAGCTTGGGAGCTCAACAATGCACTTGTTGAACCCACTTTTCTCCTAGCCAACTGTCTGTGTACTCTGGGGCCTTCAAACATTCTGCCATTTGCTTGGGGATGGAGTAGGGAGGAAAAGGAAGGATGAATATGGAATAAAATAACAGTTTCCTTCTCAGAAATCAAACCCAAAGGCTCAAAGCTCCCTTGGTCTAGACAAGACCACACAGAACAAAGTCTCAAAACTCATTCACTGTGTTCTGGCCAAAGGCCACAGGCCCCACCTAATTTATTGTCCAGTTATCTGCCCTCCAGTGGCCTCTTATCACACCTAAAGTCATTTGGTCTATACACCTGAGAACTTAAGTTTACCATCCTCTTTAAAACATATCAGCAGCTGAGGAAACTCTCTCTATGTTGATTTACTCCATAGGAGAAACACACTATACGTCAGTTATCCTAATCCTTCCTCCCCTAATGTCAAATTTATGATTTTGATATTGCCTTGTTGTCAGGTAAGATGTTACTATTGGGAGAACCGATTGGAGGGTACAAGAGTTTTCCCCATATATTACCTTTACAACTTCTTGTGACTGTAATTCTTTCAAAATAAAAAGTTTAATAAAAAAGAAAAAATATATAAATAAATCAGCAACTTTTGGAGCTATACACAGGCAGTGGTAAATTATATTAATCGAAACCATGAAGTTGGGTCCTTCAGTCTTGCTAGGACTAATCATTTTTCTTCCCAGTCCCTGTTGAGCACAAAGAGGCCATCACTTGCCTCTCAACTGGTGAATTGATAGTGTGGAAACCTCGGCTCAGGGGCCGGTTCTTGAAGATTTTTTGGAGGTGCTCACTATGTGTCACGCAGTGTGCTGAGCACCAGAGGTACAAAAATGAGTATGATCCAGCCCTGCCTGCGGAGAAGGCCACACCCTCCCAGGGAGACACTGACACAGCTGAGGCACCACTGGGGAGCTGCATGCACAGAGCTCAGGTAGCTAACGCCTCAGTGGTGAGGTTGTCAAGTCAGGGAAGTTTCATATCATGGTGACTTGAAAACTGGGCAGAGAAGGATGAGTTCACATTTCACCAGATAATAACTTCATATCCATTAGGATGGCTACTCTAAAAAAATCTAAACACAGGATAACAAATGTTGGTGAGAATTTGGAGCCCTTGTGCATTGCTGGTGGGCATGAAAAATGGCACAGCTGCTGTGGAAAACAATTTGGCAGTTCTTCACAAAGTTGAACATAGAACTCCCCTATGATCCAGCGATTCCACTCCTTGTTATTTGACCAAAAGAACCGGATACAGGTCAAACCAATATTTATACACACATGTTCATAGAAGTGTTGTTAACAATAGCCAAAAGGTGGAAACAACTCAAATGTCCAGCAGATGAGTGGATAAACAAAATGTGGTATATTTACCTGATGGAATATTACTTAGCCATAAAAAGGAAGGAAGTACTAACATATGCTACAACATAGACGAACCTCTGAAAACATTATGCTAAGTAAAATAAGGCAGACCCGCAAGGTCACATATTGTATATATAATTCTATTTGCGTGAAATATCCAGAATAGTAAATTCGGAGAGACAGAACACAGATTGGTGACTGCCAGGGACTGGGAGAAGGAGGAATGGAAAGCAGCTGCCTAATGGGGTATATGTTTTCTTTTTGGAATGGTGAAAATGTCTTGAAACTAGATAGAAGTGGTGGCTGTGCAATATTGTAAATGCACTGAATACCACTGAGCTACACACTTTAAAATGGTGAATTCTATGCTATGTGAATCTTGCCTTAACTAAAAAAAAAAAAAAGAGAGAGAGAGAAAGTGAGAGATTTCACCAGATAGAGAAGGGGTGCCATTATGCCATTTAAGGCGCAGGTACCATTAGAAGCCGACTTGTGGGCACAGAAGGACTTGAGTGTGACACACTAGTTCAATAAACTCAGAAGGCCAGGTGAGAGGACATTGTTAGGTTAGAGGTGGACGTGCCCTTTCTGATCTTCAAAAGAGTGACTTTGGCTTCTACTTTCTTGGAGACAACTGAGAGGGTAACTAGGCTCCCACACGAAGAAACAAAGCAGGTGACCCCCTCCTTGCTCCCCCATACCCCAGCACCCTTCTGAGAGATTAATTGGGTAGAAAGTTCTACTCAGACCAAAGGATCCTATATCTGCTCTCTCAAATGACACTGAAATAGTGGTTGAGAGATATTTTGCATTTCATATCTCAATCTGTATTTTGACAGCATTCTAGTTGATTAGTTATTTTAGTAGATTTTTTTTTCTAAATTGCAAAGATGAGGTGACAAGCAGTTTTTAAAATATAACAGGCTAAGGAAAATGGATGTATTAATACAAATACCAAAAAATGTCAAGTTTAAGGCTGGCAATTATGATTCTACTGGCCTTGTTTATAAAGGATCACTCTTGATTTTTATACTTGCTCCCAGAGAACAGGATTTTTTGTTGTTGTTGTTTCAAACATAAAACTGTCCTGATTATTTACCTTAGTATCATACCCTGCCACACACACATGGACTTTCACACACACACACACACACACACACACACACACACACACACACACACACGCATGGTCTCATACCCCAGCCTAGAGTATCATTGAGAAACTGACAGGGCAGCATCCTGAAAGCAAAGCAGTGCCTAGGAAAGACTTGGACGTTGCCTGTATCTCCCAAAGCTCCTCATTTAGCAGGAAGGTACCAAAGGAAACATCCAGGCTCTTTCTACATGCTGGGTATTCAGTCATGAGCACAACAAAGACCCCACCCTCATTCTGTGATTGTGAGGGACCCTGTAATTTCAATTGTGGAAAGCTCAAGTAAGCCAGAAATCATGGGAAATTATATTCTTCAGAAACTTTCCTGAATAAATAACAGAATATGTTGGATTTGTATATTACCACTGCAAACCTAAATGACTGTGTTGTAAAAAGAAGCAAATGCTGTTTTGCAGGAACAATAGCTGACAGGGTGGGGCACTTCTACTGCTTGCAGTTTGTGCAGGACACTATTCTAAGTGCTTTCCTTGCATAAACTCATAACTCCTCTTAATAACCCAATGAGTTGGTTGCTAAATATTCCCATTGTATAGGTGAGGAAACTTAGGCCATGAAAAATTCAGTAAGTGATAGAGCTAAGCTTCAAGCTCAGGCCACGAACTTGCCTTTACCAATTGCCTTTATTAAAGAAGAGAAGTATAATATGGGGTTAAGGGCCCAGGCTCTGAGGTGAGATTTCTTTGGGATTGAACTTCAGCTTTGCTTCTTACCAACTTGGATAAATGTAACCTCTCTGCACTATCTTCTTGAAGCCCAAGGCTACCAGGGACATACTAATAGCCAATTCTTGTTAGATTTATTTTCTTGGGGCTAAAAGGGAGAGTAGACAACAGAGGAATTTAAGAAATGGATCTCAAAAAGTAGAGTAAGAAGATACCAAGTAAAGAGTTGAATATTTGAGTCTGATTTGAAGAGTTATTATCATCCAGGGATTACTCAAAAGTAACTGGAAATGGATGAAACCACCTAAGGAGAGACAGACACACCCGGGATTGAGTACTGAAGAACTCCAACTTTTAGTTTGGCAGAGGGGATCTAGCAATGAAATATGAGATGAAACTCCCTATAAGGTAGGGAAAAACCAAGAGAATATGAGTCAAAGAGGCCAATTTATTATTTCATGAATTGTGTTCAAAGCTACTGAGAGATCGAAGAGGAAGACAGAAAAGTGTCAATTATTGCATCAAACAACATGTAGATTGCAGATAACTGTTACCAGACTGTCCCTGGAACGTAAGGGTAGGAGCCAGAGTCAGTGGGCATAAGAAGTGTGAAAATGAAAGTAGAACATGCAGATGACTCTTTTAGTTGGTTTGACATGAAGGAGAGTAGGAATCTGGGGCAGGATATGGAGCGGAGGTGACACCTGAGCGTATGTGTAGCTAATGGGACTGATGCGATGGAGAGGGGAGAAGGATGATGCTGGAGAGGGGAAAGCCAACAGCAAGGTGGGAAAGGGCACTGACAGCCAGAATGGAGGAAGTGGCCTTAGGGGAAGAGGGCCACTTACTCTACTGTAACATATGCAAGGGAGGAGAAACCAGGGGCAGATGCAGGGAGGTCTGTAAAGAGTGGTGGAAAAATGAACAAGTTCCCTAATGTCATCTAATAAAGATATGCAGGTGTGTGTGTGTGTGTGTGTTGCCTGTGGGGAGACTTGAGAAGGAAAAAGGTATGAAGTAGTACCTGGGAGATAAGGAAATTCAGCCTACTGGGCAGGTATGGTAGGTTTGTCCGGCAGTGTTGGACGTCAAAGCAAGCTTTGTGATTGTGATCAGAAGTTTTAAGTGAAACCAGTCCAAATAGTGATAGTAGTATGGAAAAACCAAAGACCAAAGACAAAGTTTGTGAGATAAGGCACAGGTATGTGACATCTACTTGGATGTTGGTGTCACAGAGAGTGATGACAGATATTGGTGGTGGGGAGACAAAGACCAGGGGACAACAGTGCAATGCATGTTAGTCATTACTGGTATTGTTAATTTTGCTGTGGCAGTCCCATTTGAGTCCTTTGGATGTCCCATGTCCAGCATTAAAGAAAAGGAAGAAGGGAAGTGGCTACCAAAAAAGCATTGCCCTGTCCTTACCCTCAAGGAGCTCATAATTATAGCAGAAATGCTAGACTTCTATGGGTACAGCAGTTAGAATTTGGTAAGGATACTTGTGTGTGTTAGATAGGAAGTTAGAGAATGGCAGAAGACTACCAGAGACAAATATGTAGGTCAAACAAGAATATGCCCTGGAGGTGGAGGGAGGAGAGGATGGACTTTCCGATGAAGTTGAAGAAAGGAAAACTATGACCCAAACTTCAGGTGAGCTAGTAACTTGTAGCTGGAACAGAGGAGTGGGCTTTGGTATAAAAAAAAATTAAGAAGAGCTGGCCTAGTTTTAGAATTGGCAGCCTCACCACTGTTTCCAAGAAGTTCTCTGAATTATCTGGAAGCAAGTCGTGCTTGAAAGCGCTTTGCAAGGTGATAACGTCTGCTATGAGGCTTCACATGCTTGTAGGCTGGGAGTGGGCACTTTCTACCAGAGATAGGGAAACACAGTCACTTGCTAATTTGCCCTGGGAGGGTGATGAAAAATGACTTTGTGTGTATGTTGCCATGACTCAGGGCAGAATTTAAAAAGTTGCCTCCCCTAATCCTTTACTTTTCTCTTCCTAAAACTAGAATGTTGGGAAGGTCATCACCAAAGGATGCCGCTACGTGGTAATCGGCCTGCATGACTTTGCCTCAGCCTACTTCGCCCCATTTGGAGTGACCACCAGCTTGGTATCCTTCATGCGCTAATGGACGCTACTGGGGCAGACACCACAAGAATGAGCAGAAACCTCTGCTCTGGGAACAGTATCAACCCAAGAGCCTTTCAGATTTCAATTCACAGTGTACTTGGATGAGAAGAAAAAATGTCTTTCTTGGTTGAGTGCTAAGAAGGAGACATCCTTGCCCACCTGCTGAACTTTTCACATCTCTCAGACACGTGTGGATCCGATGGCCAAACCTGCAGAGAATTAGAATTTAGCTGTAGAAGTAGAGTTAGATAGCTAAAATCTAAACCTTTGTGTGAAGGTGGCAGGCACTGGGGTGGAGACAAACACTTGACAGAAGCTAGAGCAGTGTGGGTGTGTAGCAGAGTGGTGATTTTGTGGGAGAAGAAAGGATATTGGCTTCAGATGGTTTGTTTGTTCTTCTGGAAATGTCGCGAGCTGCTGGACACTCACAGCCCTTGGCTGCCTCAGTTCTGAGGGCAGCTAAGGAGCTGTTTATTTCTCCAGTCATTCTTTCCCATCTCCTTCCTCTGCCTCTCTGTCACCAAGAGTTTAATTACAGGCTTGAGAAGAAGAAAGGAAGAAAAGATGTCTTTGAAGGATATGATGCTTTGAAAACCCTGTTGACAGTCCATCATGACTGTTTAAAGTAGATAAAAGCTTGTCATTTTCCCCCTTGTCTGCATGATTGTGCAACTGGCAAGGATGGGTGGAGAAAGGGCAAGTTCAGAGGCAGGTTGGGTATCTGGGACACCCAGATTGGTAGAGGTTGGTAGAGGGACTGCTGTTGTGCCCAGTGTGGCCCAGTTTAGCCCAACCACATGTTTGTGGCCAAAGTCCCCTGGAAACGCGTGCCTGGCTGCAGTTGCTTAACCCTCTTCCATGCCAGGCTGACTAAGCATGGAGCACAGGGGACAAGAGAAAAGGGAAAATGTAACACCTGGATTTAGAGAAGGAACCAGCAAGTAGGAGACAAGTGGGAAGGAAGTAGAAACAAGGCAAGAGGAAGTTGGAAGAGAGAAGATGGAAATACAGAAGTCAGACTGGAGCATCAATATTAGGGAATTCGGGGGCCTGGTGCTGCACCCAAATAGGTAGGGCCAGGAAAGCCTGGATGGTCAGAGGTGCCATGGCTGGTTCTTGAACCCCTCTGAGCCATGAGCTCATGTTGACTGTTTTTGTAGCATCTGTTCCTCTCCTATATCTTACTCAGATGTAAAGGTTAAAGAGGTCATAGGTCCTGGGCCTGACACTCACCAAGGATGACCGTGGACTGCCACTGGACACTAGACAGGGAGATGAAAGGAAGAGGAGGACCCTGCTCCTCTGCTAATTCCCATGATAGGCCACTGTTCTGACTTTGTTTCCAGAATATCCAGAAGTCCAAAGACCGGTCTGCAGGATCAACTGCGACACCTGCTTGTTGCCCAGGGGGTTTCCAGGGCATGGGAGGAAGGCCTCGACACTCATGCTTGTCTGATCAAGCCTGACCAGGAGGCATGAGGAGGTGGAGAAGGTGGGAAGACAGATAGAAGAGAGAATGGGTGGGAGAGAAGGGGGTAGCTGTGTAGCTAGACTCAGATTCACTTTCTGAAGCTTCAACTTTGTGTTGAGGATAAGCTGGGGACCCAATTCCTGCATCATCATTTGTAAGGAAAAGAGAAAACAAGTGAGCTTGTTTTAGCCCAAAGGATGCAAGTTGATAACAGCACATTTTCACACATGTGAGATAATTATAGCTTGCCCCGCAACACCAGGAGTTGGGGGAAAGGAGAAACAGACCTAAGCAGAAGCAAAAACCAAACTTAGTGGGAGAGAGAGTTAGAGCTGTCAGGCCACTGGTCACAGGGAATGAAGACTGGAGGTTTGGAAAACACCCTCCCCTGTGACCCAGGGATGCAGATGAGCCCCCACAGAGCCCACAAACTCCTTGTGGAGAAATGGAGGTGTGGTCCAGGGAAGGGAATTGAGCTGCTAAGGTCTTTTCTTGTTTGGAAGTCCAAAAAAGAGCTTTAGCACCTCTGCTCCCGCCCCCACCTACCAAATTGGAAAAACTGTACAGTCAAGCACATTTGGCCTTGAAATTCTCAGAGGTTTGTTAAGAATTAACTCAGAAATATCAAAAGTCAAAACCTCCCAGAGATTGTCCTGGGAGTCAGGTTCACAGGTACAGAAGATGAACTTCAAACTGTCATTCATCCTGAGCAGTCATTTCTCCTGTGACAGGACTCCTGTGTTTTTCTCTTACTCAGTTCCTGGAGCATAAAAACTTGGAAACATGTCCCAGATTACCTTTTCTTTCTCTTCATTTTTTTCCCCTTAATATCAGGGCCCACGCCCTACTGAGAACTGAGTTTTAAAGCTTTCCCTTTATGTGTGACCAAGAGGCTTCTTTTGTATCCTTTTCTTGCCCTATTATGTAAATAAAAACCCCAACATATGTAATGTTTCTGTGTGTGAAGGGTCCTGCCCTCACTTTCTAGCCTTGCCTAAGGGGAATTCCTAGAGTGTTCTGCCATGATGAGAACTTGGTATAGCAGGTGAGAGCCAGTGAGGAGGGACCTCTGGGGAACCCAGTAGGAGCTCATGGCTGCTCCCTGAGGACCCAGCAGAGGGAGGGATCCCCACTCACCTGGGAACTCTGCTTGGGTATTAAAAGGGGGCAATTCTAAAGAAGCTCAGCAGAACAGGTTTTACTATGCTCACAAGTTTGTTAAAAATGAAAATTTCCAGGACCTCTGACTTAGATTTAGAGAGTCTAGCATGGGGGCAGGAAGCTGCATTTTCTGAAAGTTGCTGAGAAGGTTCTGATGCATCTGTTCCTCTGCCTCAGTTGAGAAAAGCTGGCTCCTAAGGGCTTGCTGCACATTGCATCTGTCACTGGGACTCCAAGGTGGGAGCCTGGTCCATGGGAGGGTGTCTGCCAGGTGCTAGGTCTATGCTGGGCACCTGTAACCTGAGCACTCACTGAATCCTCATAGAAATGAGGGGGAGGGTTTTGGTGGTGGGAAGGAAAGGGGAGAGGAGTAGTTCTGGTAGCCATCAGATTATATGCCTAGGCAGGATTGGAGCCCCTGGATCCCAATCTGCTATTTAGTTTAGAGAAAAGTAGAAGCAAAGACCTCTATGTCTTCAGCTATCTTGGAATCACCCCTGTTGTCCTACCCAACACCTGTGCCTTGCCAGAGAAGCCCTGACTGAAGCAGGACTTGAATTCGGACCCTCTCCTGCACTCTCCACTAGTCTTCCAGGGATGGTAGCCCTTAGCAGTTAATAGTTGTGGACTGGGTTCAGTGGCTCAGCCTGTAATTCCAGCACTTTGGGAGGCCGAGGTGAGTGGATTGCCTGAGCCTGCAGGTTCAAGACCAGTCCAGGCAACTTGGCGAGATCTCATCTCTACAATAAATCAAAAATTAGCCAGGCGTGGTAGTGCGCACCTGTAGTTCCGGCTACCTGAAAGACTGAGGCGAAAGGATCGCCCAAGCCCAACAGTTCAACACTGGGGTGGCCGTGAGCATGCCACTGCACTCCAGCCTGAGCTACATATTGAGACTCAACCCCTCCCCCCCAAAATAGTTGTGTTATCAGGAAACCATCATCACAGTGTTAGATTCAGGCAGCTGCAGTTATGGGGTTTGCACACGATGATTTTTCTAACTCTGGACCCTAAAGGAATATAGATAAACTGAGCTAATTCCATGATGCCATCACCTCCAAGATGTTTTTGAATACTAAATAGATATCACTGTAAACTTATTTTTTAATAAAAGGTATACCCAAAGTTAAAGAAAAAATACCCCTCCCCCCCAGCATCCCTGTAAAGGCTGCATTTGAGAGGCTCCATGGTTTTGCAAAAACCCCAGATGGTTCTTGAATAAGAAAAATCCTTCTGCCCTTGACTATGCATGGGGAAATGTGGGAAAATAAATAATACATAGGGGTGTGTGTATTTTATTGTTTCTAGAGACAATGTTGTTTTTGAACCAAACCACTCCAAGAAACATCATAGCTATGTGGAAAGGAGATCCCTTTTGATCTACAGGACTCAGTGGCTGAGCCT